TAAAATCATAAGAAAAAAGTCAAATGAAATGAAGAAAGTGTTGAAAGGGTGATGGAACTGGAAGGAAGTATAAGTCTCCATCGAGTAGTTATGCTGAGAAAAGCAAGCTCGGAAAAGAACGCTTATCTGACAACCACTGGGACTCCGTGATGATTATATATATGTATATTATGAATGCCAATTAATCCAGAAAATAAATTTAAAAAATAATGATCATGAGTATTAGTCATGAACAATCAAAAACATTTAAGTGGTAGGAAATGCTTGCATCAATGATAGCAATTCCATTGTCTTTTTCGATTTCCTCAGATTCATCATCCTTCCTCCATAACCGTAGCTACACGTGTCTGGTTCATCATAGCTAGTAGCTACGAGGGTGAGAATAATTTGTAAAGGTAGTCTACATGTATTGGATGGAGGCAAGATTGTCTGCCCTCCTTTTACCATGTACTTCTTATTCATTCTTATTTATACGGTTACGATTAAAAATCAATATAAAATGTTAACGTGACTTAACCGTGACCGTATAATATAAAATATGCGAAAATTTGCCTCTGTATTGGATTGGTGTAGCTGTTGCCGTAAATTATAGAATGAACTGGGCTCATGTCATAATTCAGGATTCTTAGCCATTGTTTCCGTCTGTAAAATTCGTGCTATGGCCAGCAAGTATTTAGCAACTTGGGATTGAAAAAGTAATCACTTTGAAGCGTGGTCCTCCTAAATGTGTAATTCCAAGTGCATGCAAGCTCATGAACATAGTGACTAGTAGTAATAGTATTACCACCTTGTTGCCTTTTGTAGCTGGTTCCAAGGGAGGGAATTGTGGAAAGAATAAGACTTAGACTATTCAAAAGATGAGTTGAAGTTCCTACTCAAAATTATTTGTTGTCGTTTTATAAAACTTCGTATTTATAATCAGAGTTGTTCATAATAAATAACTTTATAAAGATTGAATTTGCAAAAAATAAATTAAAACTAAGGTCATTTAGTTATCAAATTGTTTAAAAACAGATGAATGAATTTGATAAAAGTATTACAAACTCTTTATGTATGTACTACAATAGGTAGACTAAACGACCATATTTTTAGTTTATTTTTTTCAGAGATTATCTTTACAGAGTGATTCATATATGAACAATTATAATCATAAGCACAGAGCTTTGTAATTTGAACCAATTATAATCATAAGCACAGAGCTTTGTAATTTGAACACGAAGAATTTTGAGCATGAGTTCCTACTCATCTTTGAGTGACTAAGTATTGTTCTCAGAAAAGAAAATGTCTCTCCAAACTTTTTATTGTGTGGCCAATCCATCAGAAAGGGATTGGTTCACGCTTATTTTGGTTAAATTTGTTTGCATATAACTAGTCAACGATCCAATTCAAGTTCATAAATTTGTGTTTGGTTAAGGAAATGTTCTTCATCCTTTCGGCGTAGTGATTCCTCCAATCGCATAGCCTATAACTGGGCGGCCCTGTGTTCTATCTGGTGGACAGTAATAACTTAAAAGGTTGGGCCTTCAAATCCTAATCCAGTTCAGACAAATGGGCCAGGCTAACCTAATTGTAAGAACCAAGCTTTTGGGGTCTGACTGTAATTAGATCAAACCCTCATGGAAATCCTGTACCTTACAGAATATACGTCTTCTACTTTGTTGAATGGCATCCTGGCATCCTGCTCTAAGATAACCACCCATGGAGCTCTCAAGTGCAGCTAAGAACTTCACTGAACCGATACTGCTCATACAATCAAAATATGAATCTAAAGATAAGTCATATTGATTGATTTTGTCCTTTGAAACTGCAATTTAGTTTCATTTTTATCACATATAATTGACTTTGTCTTGCTTTGCTTTATGAAATTGTCATTTTTTACTCATTTAGTTTCGGTTCACCCTATTTTCGTTCATTCCGTAAAAAAAGACGTTAAATTAAAGGATAGTATGAACATTTACTTTTCACACAACTCCTTGCCTCCAACTTGCTTGCTAAAACAATCACAATTCCATTTTGATGAAGTCTTATCCAAACCCCGCTTTTCTTTTTTGCTGAAATAGATGAAAATTAGGTGAACAAAAACTAAATGAAACGAAACGGCAGTTTGATGGGGTAAAATGAGATAAAAATCATTTTCAATGGATAAAGTGAAACCAAATGACATTTTCAGAGCAAATCAATTAATAAACATAAGGATAATTATGTCGCCATGCAGTACTCTGCTTTCCTGTACAGGGACACCGATACTGGGGGATATAAGAAAGTTGTTCTGGTAAATACGTCAGTTAAATTTATATTAATTTAATCAGCTCTCTTAATCATCATGGTGATATGAACTATGAAGTACTGAAGGTTTACTGATATATTTTCTCCAGTTATGTTAATTTATTTTTGTTGTGACTTAGATGGTGTGATGCTTTTCGTACATACTGTAAAGTTGTTTGAGGTTTCTCCACAAAACTTTAATCTTCTCTTTTGCTTTACTGCTTTAGCAATAGTATTAAATTAACCAGCATCTTCCTTTAGCTTGTCTGGTTTTGTTTTCTTTTATATCTTTTTCTTGCTTATGTTTTTATAAAGGTCACGCTTTTGCTAATTATTGTAACATTAATTGAATTCTGATTATGCTATATACTGATAAATCAAAACAAAATAATACTAATAGAGAACTAAATTTCTGACCATTTGGTTCATTTATCTGTTCTAAAAAGTAGACAAATCTTTCACATTTTGGAAGTGCGTGTGGCATGTGCCCTGAGTAACAAGAAATTTTTTACACGTTACGAGAATACCTATTATATGGTGTACTATTGTACGTATTATAATAAGAATTAACAGCAATATGGTTGATATGTTAATATGTTATACTTCTAAAATATATCAACAAAAACCAAATACAGGTGTTATAAATTTACAAGAATAATAACATCACATGGTCATTTTTTTGGGACACTGCAAAATTGTTCATGAGTAATATTACAAATAATATTACCTTGAATGGATTTATTTTTTGCTTGAAAAAGGCTAACCTTTACCCCTTTCAGTCTAATCTGCTACCACATTTTTCTTTTTCCTTTTTTCTTTGGAAAAAAAAAAAAAAAGATTTCCTCAAGGGGTGATGATCAAACAGCTAGATAGCTAGGATACCTCCACAAAGTGTAACATTAAGAGATCGGATATATACTTGGATTAATCATCAATGTGAACTTGTGATGCTTTAGCTTTTCCTTTTTCTTATAATTATAGGCAGAATAAATACCTTAGTACAATATTAGAGCTGGTTCTATTTTGTCCTTGTGATGCTTTGCTAAAGTTCAAAGTTTCCCCAGAAGAGAATCCTAAAACCAACACAGCAAGCAATCCCAAGAACAGTGCATGCATTTTTTTATCACCAACTCTTACAAAGATACATATATATAAGAACTCATTCAGACATTAAAATTAAAGGAACCAAATTTAAGATATTAACCCACCAATCCCCATTCTCAATTCCCTAGATTAATTAACTTCGCCGTCATCTGTCGTCTAATCACTTAATTGCAATGCATACTACTGTTGTAAACTATAGGTACCAACGATCAGCCTCTAGGTTGACAGTAGGTGCACACTTGTTTGGCATCTTAGCAATCATACTTATGCTTGTTTGGCTCCTGCATTACCGTGGTGGCATCGACTATGAGTCTGACAATTCAGATCGAGTTTTCAACGTAAGCGGTCATTAAACCTTCATAACCAGTACTATTTTCTTAATCGTGGCTCAAATTAAAGTTTAAGTCATCTTCCTTGATTTGGCAGGTTCATCCGTTTCTTATGTTCTTCGGGTTTATTTTCTTTGCTGGTGAAGGTACGTAAGCAGTAGGGTACTAGGGTTTCAATTTCTCTCTGTATGTAGGCTAAATATACGTACATACATTTAAATATTAATATCCAAACGAAAAATTATTATTGCGTGTATGCGATATACCAGCGATGATGGCATACAAGACCGTAATGGCAGAACACAAGGTGCAGAAGTACACTCACTTCTTGTTACACGTGATAGCTCTATGTACCGGGATATTTGGTATCTGCGCTGCTTTCAGATACCATGACATGAGGCAGATAGATGACATGTATTCCCTGCATTCATGGATTGGTTTGGGTACCTTTATCTTGTACGGTTTGCAGGTACGTACTTACTAATAAATTAACATAACTTCATTAATTACTTAATTATATTCCTTAATTACTTAATTAAGCACATGAATGTTTGATTTGCATGCAGTGGCTGTTTGGAGCTGCTGCGTTCTTGTTTCCGGGAGCTACGCCAGAGTCAAGGATGAGATTAATTCCATGGCATATGAGTATGGGCAGGACAATTCTATACTTGTCGATATGTGCTGCCCTAACTGGGTTGATGCAGAAATTCACATTCCTTGGACTTTCGAAAGTGATGGGAGAGAGAGAATCGCACTTGATCAATTTCACTGCACTAGCAATCCTCCTCTTTGGCATCTTCGTCGATCTTTCTGTCGCCCTTGCCCGCTATGTGTGATGTATAGTTTTTTAATTAATTTCTATCTTTTTCTTTTCTTTTCAGCTGGACTATTCGGTTGAAGACATTGGTTTGGTGTTATATATAATGTTGATTTCATATGTATAATCTTTTTTTCTTTTGGTGTGATTCATTTGAGCGAATTTATGTATGAGGGAGGGTTCATATGGGAGACCAATATATTGATTATGATATGAATTCATTATTTTTGCGCTAATGATCAGATAATGTTGTGTTGATTCCTTAATCAGTTGAGTTTGTATATCAGTCCCTAATATCTTTTCTAATACAATTTTCTTGTACTTTTGCACTCTATGAAAAACATATAGCATCACTCCCTAATAGTTCGCATCTTCAATGATGGTGTACACGATATTTTACTGTGCAAACGTCATAATTGGAACCATTCATTCTCTTTATCATAATCTAAAGATAATTTCTATAAAAATTCATTCGACTTAAAAGACTATTTACTGCCGACGACTTGACTTAGCCATATGGGACACACAGAAACAGAATGCAAAAAACATATTCCAAGTTTTTGGCCTCGACACCTAAAGATCAGCCGGCTAGACGGTTTTCCATATTCCACGTACTGGGCGGCATCGATACTTCGAATTCTCATTCAAATATTGTTTACTTTGGGCAAATAAAACTCTAATCCTTACATTGATTTCATCAAAATTTCCCTTCTTTTCTAATCAACAATGTTTCTCTTGGTGTGTTTTAAATACAGTCCTAGTAAAGCTTGTAGCTCTGGATAGGGTAACACTTACACATTACAACAATGGCACCTAAGAGTCGTAGCTACCAACTTTCAGCAACCCCAGCTACATTATTTGGGCATTTGCTAGCTATAGCCATAACAACCCTGGTTCTTGTTTGGACCCTAAAGTTCCGCGGTGGCTTCGCTCTCGAATCTGGCATCAAAGAGAAAATTTTGAATGTAAACGTTACGTAATTGTTTAAATCTTGCATATGCTCATATTATAACTGAAGTTTATATGATCATATCCTTTATTTCATCATATTCTTCCTCTCATTTTTCATAGGTTCATACGTTTCTAATGGTGGTCGGGTTTATTTTGATCGGTGGAGAAGGTAATCATATTGGAACTCACTAGGTCAGAAAATTGTGTTTATAACCTTGCTAAAACGAATGTGCTCCTTGTGCACCTAAGTTGAATCCCTGTCTTCGCAGTTCATATTAGCTTAAAGTAGACTATCATCTGTATCAAAAGCATTGTTAAATATCCCTAGAATATTAAGGACTGATCTGATGGGGTGGCAATTTATTCGTGCAGCAATCATGGCATACAAGACGGTCCAAGGGACAAGGAACACACAAAAAGGGGTGCACCTGATATTGCATCTTCTAGCCCTGGCGGCTATAATTTTTGGGTTGTACTGTGCTATCCACTTTAATCACGAATCCGGAGTTCCACATTTTCTTACCTTACATTCCTGGCTCGGCATAACAACCATCTCTTTATTTGGTCTTCAGGTAATACTAACACCTTACAATAGCTAAAATACGTCATCATTTTATACGTCATGTCACTTTTGCGGAAATAACCTCTTGACTAAATGACCATACAATTATGTTGTTGCTTATTTTTCAGTACTTGTTTGGCTTCGTGCTCTATGTGTTTCCGGGTGGAGACATGTCGTCGAGGGGAAATTTTATGCCATGGCACACATATTTTGGGATGGTGATATTTCTTCTAGCAGTGTGCACGGCTGAGACAGGGTTAATGGAAAGGTTCTTTTTCTTGGCCGTAGTAAAAATTAATCAAGAAGTGCTTATAGTCAACTTCACTGGTCTTTTGCTCTTTCTCTTCGCAGCCACCGTCAGCCTCACCGTCCTCCTCCCTCGGCTTTATTAACTAATACCAACCAGTCATCTTTACCTTAGTATATTTTTCTTATTAAATTTTGTTTTGAGACGAATTATTTTTGTTGTTGTTTTTATAGAGCGTTATATTTACGCTTAGAACGAGAGAATTAATATCGGTAGGTTGTAGTGCTAAGTATTAATACATTTCTACTTTCGTAAAAGATTTGTTGAGCCAGATGGCTATTTGTATACTTAAATTAATAAAGCAAAAGATGAACATTCAAGTAAGTTCATTGTCATCTTACTTTGTATCTGTCAAAGTGTAGACGATTTATTACGAAAAAATGAAAGTGGATCGATGTCATTAGTGTCATTTTACTTTAGCATAATTTTCTCATTATTTTTAAATATTGTATATTTTATACTGCAAATCTACAATCACAAAGTCAGATGCTTGTAATTCAAGTGATTAACAAAATACGAAATCACAAAGTAATGATGATGTTTGGAATGAGATCCATTGTGTCCGTAGCACGCATTCAAATGGATCCGGATCATTTAAGAGAGAGAGAGAGAGAAAGAGATTCGAGCGGTTCAAATTTTTGAATTTTTGTGAAATAGGTCAGTAAGATGAGCTAATAGGGTAGTAAAATTGAAATTGAATGATCCAAATCTCTCAATCCATGTACTCTATATGTAGTGCTTCGGAACAGATCTCAATCCGCTATGGTTTTGCACCCACGACATTATTAATTTTAACAATGGTGGAAGTGGTGGGACCAATGGTACAACATCCTTGTAGCCACAATCGGCGTCGTGCTTTTACTTTGTAGGAGGATATCGTATCTATGACTATGAACAAGAGACTTTGGTCTTGGTGGCGCATTATAGCACCCATACGTGTGGACAACCTTACATAAACAACGCAAAAACATATCTTCTACTGCAAGACATTCTGGAGAAATTCTTGTGTTCACTAGAGGACTACTTCATTCGTACGTCCACACACAGAATTTCGTAGTGGACAATAGTACAAGAGATCTCGCTTACGAATGATGACTTAATTTTCTAGATGGACACAAGAATTTTTCATCGTTGTGACAAAAGGGGAGGCACGTGTGCGGCATTTCTCAGCTCAAACATTGCCATCCATGGGGGGCACATAGAGAACAATTCCAGCACTAGCTATATAATCATTAGAAGAACAAATTTGGAATTCCACAACCGAGAAACAATCTCTCACTTTGATAAAAATAACAAGCAGAATCCAAAATTGAAATAACACTAATAATATACTAAACATAGTTAGCACCATTGTTAAAAAAAAAAATGAAAGGAGAAACGAAACTAGACCCGTTGCTGTTTTGTTGCTTCCATTCTCTCCAACAAGCCAGCAATCTCGCCTTGCATTCGAGTTTTCATCTTGTAGTAATCACAATGTGAACTTTCCAAAATTTTCAGCTCCTCCAGTTTCTTCCTTCGCTTTTCCTCCGTCTCTTTCAGACACAATTTGGAAAACTTTCCGGCATACTCTTCCTCCAGCTTCTCCGTCTTTGTTTGTATCATCTGACGGTACCCTTCTGCCTCTCTCCGCGCTTCATCAGCCTTGTCCTGGAACATTCTAGCTTCTGCTTCCTTTATCCTCACTAAGCTTTCCAAGCTCTCAAACCCGTCTATTTTTGGTAATGTCCCAAACTGGAACTCATCCTCATCGCTTATGTGGGATGAGTTGAGGGGGTTCTGACGCGTATTGTTGGACAGTGAATCACGTTGCATACTAGAACTTGTGTTGTAAACAGCATATTTCGGAGGTGCAGAAACGGATTGTGAAAAGGGGGTCAAATCTTTTCTCAGGCTGGATTGAGAGGCACTCAACTCTTTTGTGGATATGGTAGAAGCAGGATATTCTGATACTCCATCTGTATCTATTTCAAAAGGAAAGTCAAATCCAGAGTTAGGCATAAACAGAAAAGAAAAGAATCATTTAGAACGAGTATAACATTCAAACTCAAGCTATAGAGGAGATTTAACCTATCAACAGTGAAACGAAAAGAAAAAAAAAAAATAGGCCAAAACAACAAAAGGGTAAGCTGCAGATATTAAAATGCTATTTAACAGCCACAGGAATATGATCCCCATCGTAGCTAATGTGCAGACAAGCAGTAGCCTCAAGTAAGCAATTCAGAGTATTCCATTCAACATAGTTCCAATTACCCTAGCCTCCAATACATGCCATAGGGTAATCAATCAACGTCCTTGAGACATTCAGTGACTGTTCTCTAATTTATAAAAGAACATTATGCTCAAGTAGAATACGGTGAGCTGAGATTAGGTACAATTAACATCCCTATGATTTTATATTCAACGTGTGAAGAAATAAAAGTAGTTTCTTGTTTCTAATTCAAAGATTGCTAGTTATGTTTTTCTTCCAAGACACTCTTATCATCTACCTTAACATCTCATTTCGCTACATTAATACTTTGCTCTCGTTTTCACATCAATGGCCGAAATTTCGTCCCATAGGTAGTGGCTGACCTAATGGCAATTCGTAGAATTTTTCATTTACCTCTATGCTTTTTGGCACAATATCAAGTAAAAGAACAAACGTTTAAGTTGAAATAGAAAACCGAAGAGGGTTGACTTACAATTAAAGAACTGAATAATGAAATTGCAGGCATCTGAAGGAGACATCAACTGGCTTCCAAGCTTGGAAATAATCTCCTCAGCCTTAATATGCAGTTCCCGGCCTTTAAAATCATCGCTTCTCCTAAAAATCTTCTTAACACAGTCAAGCTCCTTGATAAGGGTCTCTAGTCCCCAGTCCTTTGCACAGCACAGAAACACATCCTTAACAAAACCAAACATTTCCGAAGCATGGCTGCATCCAATGCAATGAAATTGCATCTCAGTTGTCCCAGAGGGACCCTTCAAGCTAGGACCTGGTTTAATGAGATTACTCTGAATACCACAAGCAGCGTGGCACCAATGCGAACAAACATCACAGCCAACCCAACTACAAGTATTATTGGCACAATCGAAATTCAAACATACAGGACACATACAGGAACTACAAAAACCCTTATTTGTAGAGCAAATCTTGCAGTCACAATCATCAACGGGCAATAAACTCTTGCAATTCACATTCTTACACCTCATAAACGAAAAAATCTCCACCAGCTCGGTTGCTGGAAGGCGGTTTTTCCCAGATACGAAGTTCCCAAGTCCCATTTTCACAGCAACCAAAATCTCCAATTGATCCTTCTGACATTTAGAGAGATTCTCCTTTGTAAGATCAGACCTTCTCTGAAGCCGGTTTTGAAGGCTCACCAATTCTTCCTTCTTCTCTGGCGCAGATATCAGATTCTTCAAGTATTCTTTTGTTGATAAGAGCATTTCTTCAGGAAGCTCTTCAACTCTCTGAGCCATGACAGTTACAGACTCCGAAACAATTTCGCGGAGAATTCTCTCCGGTCTCGAGAGTTTCCTGGCTCTCCCACCACCATCCACACCCTCCAATCCTCTCAAACTTTCAGAACCTCTCCCTCTAGAATCCCCGGAAAGGGTATCGATTTTCGGCTTAGCAGGCAACTCAGATGGAAAAAAAGAAAGATTTTCGGAGCTAGTTGTCCTATAAACACTGTTATTATTACAAGAATCCTTACGATTACTCTGCATCATCGACAAAATCCCGCCGCCGTGATTCGACAAACCGACTCCGTCTCCAATCGGCTTAAACCTGCTATGCACAGACCCATTAGTCCCCTCCCCGCAGTTCCAAATTTGATCATCTTTCCCGACAGAATACTCGAAATCCGTCGAATTTCGGGTAAGCGAGCAACTGGGGTTGTGGGAAAATTGGTGGGAATAAGAGTACGACAATGAAGCTGCTGTGAAATCATTGGAGCAAGTTGTCTGTGTGTTGTTAGCAGACGGCGCCAACGACTGAATGCTTCTGCTGGGCCGCAGCATCGCCGGATGATCGCCATTCTGCAAGGCGTTTGAGGCGGTGAGAGAGAGAGATACCTCCGGCAAGGCTAGAGAGAGATTCAAAGTCTCGAGCTTTGGCTTCTTGTCATCCCTGCTTTCTCTCTCCGCGTCCTCCTCAAGCTCTCGCTTCGAGGAATTCAACCTGGTTTCGTTCAAATTAAGGAAATCCCTCTCTACCCATTTGTTAGAATTCTCAGATACGATGATGCCTTTACCTTTGAAACTCTCTTTCTCCAACGAAGTCAGCAAATTTGCGCCGGCTAAATCCTTCTCGAGAAAACCCAGTTTGGAACTGTCGCAGAGGTAGCTTAGAGTCAACTCCTGCGAACCTAAATTTCCAATCTTTGAGGGTTTTGATTGGAACCCATCAGAACCCATGTCTGATTCTCTAAGAAATCCGAACCCCTTTTCGGAGAATCCCATTTTCTCTTCTGGGTTGTGTTTGTTTTGCTTGGAGATATGGCGAGTGACCTTGCTCTGAGACGCCTCGTCGGCGGCAAGATTCCCAATCGCTCGATCCTTGTCGCCAAACATGGCCTTATCCACAGAGAGAGACAGAGAGACAGAAAGAGATAGGAGGAGAGAGAGGAATTACCAGGTAAGAGAAATAGGGAGGGGAGACAGGGAAAGTGTGTCTGAGAAGAGAAGAAATTGAAGAGAAACAAAGGGGAAAAGGTCTGCACCCTACAGGGGCTGTTTGGAAAATAGTAAAGAATCTGGGGTTGTGTTTGTCAATTGATTCTTCAGCACACCATAACTGAAATCCCAATTTCTCTATCTGCAACGGGATTGCCCCAACGGCTGGAGGGATTTTTCGGTGTACCCGGCACACCAAAAAAATTTGGTGCACCCTCACTTTTTGTACACCAAAAAAATTCTAATGAGTGAGGGTACACCAAAAAAATTTGGTGTACCCGGTACACCTAAAAATTTTCGCAACGGCTGGATTTTTCAAGCGTTTACACCGAAAAAACGGCGATATGATTGTAAAATTACTGAACTGGCCCCGCTGTGTTTGACGGAATTACTGATGCTCTGCTTTGAGTCGTCTTTTTCTTGGTGCATGCCTTTGACTCGGAGTGGTGGTGAAGGTAGAGGACAACTTTCTGTATTTTTCGAGAAAAATATGGATTTACGTTTAATTAGGGCATAATTACCGTTTAACTTCCTAAAAAGGTGCTTAATTGCTTTCAATTTTGAGTCAAAGTTTAGCCGGTAAAGGGTCACAAGTTCATGAAAATTTTGTTTCTGTAACTTGTCTCACATGAATTTCAAGCCCGTATTTTACATGGTACGTTTTAAATTCGATCTGTTTCTGTTGACTCAGTTGATTGTTCTCTTCTTTTGCTAATTAATCAAAATTTTTTTTAATTAATATATTGTTCTTTGCTTTTGAGACCAACAAATAATGTTTTTGGAGTATCCAGTCGCGTGACATGTTATCTCAGTAAGATCTTCTTTTAGTAACATCCTTTGTAAAACATGTTGCATAATTATGTGTGTTCAAAAGTAAGGAATCTCCATGCCTCATTAATGATCTTCTTCTTGAAGACTGTACTGGGTAGTTTAGCTGCTATTTCAGTCTTTTATTTCATTACTTCTGCGTATTGACTTGTTCTTTAAAGCAATAAAATTCCCTATCTATCTATCGTTTCAATTCAAACAAAAAAGGGGGAATATTTTTGCTCACGTATGCTCATCATTCTATTTATCATCGTTAAATGAGTTTGAATTTTGAGATTCGTGTAGTGAATAAGCACAAATCTCAAAATTTAAATTCATCTAACGGTAATAAATAAAATGGTGAGCATACATCACATAAATGGTAATAAGCAAAAATGCACTCCAAAAAAGGTAGGAGAGGGACTGAAAAACCAAGATTGTAGTTTAACAGTTACTTCATGATTAGAACTGCCATCCATAAGATGAGTGATTAATAAATATTGATGAGGGGCAAGACATGATTAATTGATTGTTAATTATATTTAGGACATGACACACCATCATCGATCACTATCATCATGCAGTACTTAATATTCATTGTTAGCAAAAAAGTCATCATATGTTAATTAATTAATCACATAGGGCCAAAGGAATCTTACAACAAGTTAAGAGTGGTATGGTTAATTTGGTAATTACCGGTATAAAGCTGTGTAAACAGGTTTGCCTTTAGTCTAGACACGAAAACGACGTGCAACTGGTAAAACGCGTTTGGCAAATCCCATTTTCTCATTGTGTTACTATTAATTTTGAATGAAATGATTACGTTTTGTTTGTTTTTCTAAATAAAAAAATAAGGTTGTCTTACTCACAACATATGTTTTTGTTGAACAAATTCATATATTGAATATATTATATTTATTTTTAATCTAAAATTTGTCTTCATACATCCTATATTTTTTAATTGGCACACGCTGGATTTGGTTAAGGAGTAGTATTATTATTCACATTCATTTTTACCTGGAAAAGAATCCTCTTTGGATTCACTTTTTGGGGATCCCATCCTAGCAATTTATCGTACATCGTGCGGTCAGTTCTCGTCAAGTACTATTTGTGTTTAATTTTAAATAAAAAATATCAAATATTTACTGCACGATGCACGATGAATGACTAAAATGTGATAATCTTTAGGATTCCCACAATTTGATGCTGAATAGAATCCAAATCTTTTTTACCTCTCACTTTCTTGCTCACTTTCGATCATTAATTTTCTTTAATTCCAAGGACAAAAAATTGAAAAAAAATATGCGAAATATAAAAACGGGAATGTTACGTTGCCTGCATGAGAGATAGAGCGCGCGCAAAGGCAAACGCGGTATTGACGTATGCAGCTGCGGCTTCCGACGTGCAAGGAAAGTACTTCGTCAATGACTCGATTTCGCAATGTCATGTTCCCATCCGTCGTTTTTTTATTCATATTTATCGCATTTCATGTTTTGTCCTAACAAAATATCCTTTTGATATTTTCGTTCTTCTTATTCATGACTTCTTACCTTATCTCTATTATTTTGATTATTATTTGATTTATTCAATATAAAAGTTAAAAAAGCATATGGTGTTTTAGGGTAGTAGTGAAAACCGATATATTTATATATTTTGGTGCAGGTTCATCCACACTGATCTCCTTCGCTAACAACTAACAATTTAACGCATTAATTAAAAAAATATACAAGCTAAAAAAAAAAAAGAGATAGAGAATGCACAAAAACAAGAGTGATTAAAATTATATTCCACCTCTATCTAGCATACTCACAACCCTTAGTCTCCTCCCTTGAATTTGATATGTTTGATATGCCTTAAAAGACATTTCATCCACATCCTAGGGTCAATATTGAATATTGAATATTGAGGCCAAGATTGACCGTTGAAATTATGAATAAGAAGCGTGCTTTTGGGGTCAACCAAAACTTCATTTCTTGCCAAATTATGTTGAGCGCTCCTTGAGACATATAGCTCAAGCAGTTAAGAGCATTTACCTATATACACTCGTATCTTCGTCTCCAAAAAGAACGCTAAAGGAAGTGAAAATTATGAATTTCATAACTTAAACCAATTACCGGCTTCCAATAAAACATTTTCACTTCCAATACTAGCAACAACAAGAACATCCTTAATTAATTATGAACTTAAGAAACAGATACAACCAGAAAAACAATTTAGAAATCTCTGCAGCCGTTACAAATGGCATATCTCACTGCACAAAGTTAATATTAATACTATTTGATTAATGTCAGCATGCATGCTTAATTAGTAGGAAATATATCTAATTAAACACAACAACAAAAATCTCAAAGCTTTAGAGTAAGATCAGGTGAAGACGAACTTGTATTATTTCTTGGTGCCATGCTTGTTCCTGAATTCATGTTTGGATTTTGTGCAGATTGCACATTGTAATGACCTCCAACTCCCTTGCCTACCTGCCGGAAACTCCCGGGCCAAAACATGCCCTCGTCATCCTCGTCCATGAACACCGGCACTCCAAAATAGCCATGTTGAAACCTCGCTACGCCTCTTGTGTCGGGGACAGGGAACCTCGGATGATCTGATGATACCATCGTGTTTTGGTGCACTGCAGAATGAGCTTGGATGCCAAGAGACCGGAATGCAGAAGCGGCAGAACCATGTAGGGGGAGAGATGCCAAGCTAGTATACCTGTCGGTAAACATTCCCATACGCATAGCACGCTTGGCCATTGTCCTCTCCCTCTTGTGAGCATTCTGATGGCCACCAAGTGCCTGTGAGCTATAGAACTTACGCTTACAGTAGTTGCATGAGAATACCCTTGGGTTTGTTCCTTCTGAAGTAGGGGGTGCAGCTGTCTCACTACTTGTCTCCCCTGTGCCCTTCAATTCAACGTCGCTGGAGCAAAACTGGAGTGTCAAGTCAAGTGAAACAGGCCCGGGATCTTGTTGTTGATGGTTTGTCTGATTTGTGAGGCACGAAGAAGTGGTTGTGCTGTCCTTAGAGGCGTCAGGGGATTCTTCTTGCAGAGGTACGTTCGAAGTTACTTGGTTCGTGACTTCTGAATTATTTTCAAATTCCAAGTTCAAGTTTTGTGTTAACATGTTTCAGCAGGGCAGTGAAGTCAAGGACTTTGTTTCTTCTATATGACTAATCACACGGAGAATTCAAGAAACTTTCTTAAGAGTGATGTTATCAGCTTGCCCTTCATCTGCAATCACGAATGCCAAAATGAGTCATTTTCCATGACAAAGTGGGATTCTTTCTACTCTCCTATTTCTTAGCGAGAGAATTTGCGAAGGAGGATCAACGATGATGAATGAGACATTTGAGTACTCGAGCAGGAAGCATGTCAAAACACAAAAAAGGCAAACGTTTCTTGAGAATATTTTCACATAATGCACACATTTCATGCTATCTCAAAAACTCGGCAAGGAACTTACAGATAAAAAAGAAGAAGAAAAGAACTGTGGAAGAAGAACTTTTGTGTCTCACAGGTGAAACCGTGAAAGTCATACTTTCAATAAGGGAAAGGTGTGCTGAGAACATTTTTGTCTATAGAGAAAAAAAATGAGCTCTGGGGTCTGTCCTCTAAATGGTGCAGAATCAGTAAACATTCCGCTCTTAGTTATCTCTAAGTGGCATTTAACACATAGACAGAACTTGGAAAACCACAACCATTCACCATATATTTGAGACAAGAGGTTAAGATTATTGGAGAACAAATATATGCTCATATATGCTTGCCTAAAATCACTAAAATGCATGAACAAATTAAGAAGAGCGTCGGGAGTAAGGAATTCCTATGCAATCGCTGTTGTTCCGTGTTATTGCAAGTGATAAAAATAAAAACTTTAATCGGAGATGTATGGTAGCTAAATTGTCTTTGTTCACGGAACATATTTTAAGCAACTTTTTGCATATCAGCAGTTCAGCACAATAAAGCTGCAGAATGCCAAATCAACCTAATACCAAATGCAATTTAACATCAAATTTCCCTAGGAGATTTTAGTACCTAGTTTTCGATAAAAATTCATGGTTCTCTCACTTTGGCGAGATCCGATAAAATTGGAGCCGTAAAAATACATGAATCTTCTAAATGACAGTGCTAATTAGCATGCTTGAATGATTAATTTAAATTTTTTTTATCAACAGAAAATCAAAGTGGAGTTTAATCTTCACCTTTTACTTGTGAGAAAGCAATAAACTTCATAACTTTCGTTTATTTGGGGAAGAGAGAAAAGTCACCAGGAAAATCACAGTAGGGAAAACCAGAAAGCATGGACTGGAGATATAGAAAAAACATGAAATCAACCAAAACTCACCAGGCATGTACAATCCAATACCAACGTGAAAGTGAAGACATGAGCTAGGCCAGCTGATTAGGGTAGTGTGCTACCTCTTTACACCAAGATCGAATCCATCTCCCGTAGATTACAGTAGCTTAAAATCTTGTGAAAAAAATAGCAACAAAACAAGAAAATTTAGAAAGTAAAAAAAAAAACAGTAGGCAGTCTATTGGATTGCAGTGATTATAACCTAAAAACCAAAGAAAGGAAATTAGATTAATTTATGAGCAACGAGCAACCTAGGACTTGAGTGAGAAGAAGCTGTTATCGAAATCAAATCTATAGAGAGAGAGAGAGAGAGAGAGAGAGAGATGATACTTGATAATTGTATAGTACTGAAGATGCAGGCGGGCTAGCTATGGGTTAGGAACATGGGTACTGCCTCTGCCTTCATGCCACTTGGGAAAGTGCAAGCAAAGGACCACCGCCACCAACACCACCACAAAGGAAGGACTAAAAAACAGGCATCTGGGATTTTTATTGTGTATTTTGATTTTTACCAGAAAAGGAGTCGGTAAAAGGACTTAAAAGAGAAATAAATGAGGATAAGGTGAGGGAAGGAAGGGGAGGACAGAACGGACAGAGCAAAGTTGTACAATTATGGGAAAGAAGGGGGGAGCCTCCAAGAAGGGGTGTGGTAGGAGAGAGAGATGGGGATCATGATGGTGTCAGGTCAGAGATGGTCAGACAATTTGTGAGAGAGAGAGAGAGAGAGAGGGAGGGAGAGAGTGATAATTCAGATAACCTATTACTAATCACTGTACTTCAGTTGAATTTTGAGCAGAGCTAGCTTTTCTTCTCTTTCCACTTTTTATATACTCCCATCCTTTTCTATTTATATTAAGTTACGTCGATATTTTATATTATGATTATTTTTTATCTTATTATCTTTATAAAAAAAATTAATATAAAATATTAACGTGGTTTAATATTAACTACATAAAATAAGAGATAATGAAAATGTATGAAAAATGGAAGGGTAGAGAAGCCGGATCCATTTTGAGCTGCTCTTCCTTCCTTCTTTCCGGTCCCCAACAGCTAACTTATTAATCAATCGATGAGAGAGAAAGATGGGAGGAGAGAGGGAGAAGCAAACAAAGAGACATAGAAAGCATGGGAGTACTTCAAGTCCCACATAAAAAGATACTTGCAAAGTCCAGTGTCTCTTTGCTCATTCTTCCCTTTCACTTTTGTAACCGGTGTAGGATCCTCTTTCTCTAAATCTCTCTCGCATTTCTTTCTTTTCTGTTGAAATAATTATAATTAAAACACGTCAATATTTTATGTTGAGCGTTTTATAGGGGGAGAAAGATAAAGAAAAAATTATGATAGGAGAAGAAAGAAGGAAAGGGAAGAAAATTTAGCAGGGAGAGAATTCTACTCTATAATACCAATGGCTTATATTCTTTTTCAACATTTTTACATGCATATATATGTATATGTATAATAATATTATATAGAATACAATAGAAGATATCTTTGTCAGATGTACTCGTTTCGGTTACATGCATATGTAAATAAAGGCCTCACATAATTCATAATTTCATATCATACCCCTCCATACATGGATATTCTTATTTTTTATCCCATATGCATTTATTTTATTTTTTTATGGTGCCAAGCTATGGGACACACATATCATTACTCATTAGTCACTCTCACCATGCAAGTTGACAAGAAATTATGAAAAATAAATGCACTACTTTTAAGTCAAAAAGAATTTTCATTCCACAGAAATATCACTAGTGATAGAGTCAAGTTTGAGTAAGTAGGAGCACTTTAAAAATATACTTTTTTAGTGACAAATCAACTTAATTTTTGGAAAATTCCCGATTTTATTTATTTTCTCTAAGTTTATTTTTTAGTCAACAAATGAATAGTCTAACACTCACTCTCATACCAACAAATTTTTAATAAATTGTAACATAGTAGTGAAAGAGTAAACAAAAAAACTAATGTTAAGAAGACTAACATTTTAGATCACATTACAAAACATGTCATGTGTTATTAATAGAAAATAAGCACGTTAATCATTCATCACGACCACGTTGTATTGTTAACAAAATATGATTTGAACAAATGACCTCCCTAATATTACTCAACAAAAAAACTTAGAGCCAACTTTATTAAATTTAAACACAAGTTAGGGGTATATTATACAATTTATACAAATAATAATGCAAAATCAAATTGTAAATATCTACACATATTATGCAAGATTAGATATCGACACAATAGCATTTCCGTTTTAGTTAAGTTTCTCTTCTTCATTAAATATTGACACAGTAACATCTCTGTTTTAGTTAAGTTTCTCTCCTTCTAAGTTGATTGGTGTCACTCCTCTATAATTCAAATACCTCAACCATTTGAGGAGCCCAATTCCTCAAATTTGGAGAGTTGAATTCTAATTTTGTGTGGACCTAACCACTCTTTAAAAAATAAAAAATAAAATCAGCCATTGGCTTTGTCAAAACAGTTCATTTTTTTGAGAGTTCAACCATTTTTTTTATTCTTCCAAATTTAATGAACGTTCTAATACTCCGTAATAAGAATTCAACTTCTTAAATTAGATCGAGTGGGAAAAAGTAAACACGACAATAAAGCTCCAGGACAAAATTAATGACATGTGCTTACCTTTAATGTGGGTCCCCAAATTTCTTGCAAGATCTCATATTGATTTGGGAAATGGCCGACCCAGATCACAAAGATGATCAAAACGTGATGTTTTTGTTGTAATTCGAAGACGACATTCCCCATGTCAGTCGCCCGTTGTAAGCTGGAAGTTAATCAAACTTCCATCACTGCCCAATTATTTGTTAATCTTTTTCCTATTTCTTAATAATTTTACTAACAAAATATGAATTCATGCATTTAAAATTCGTTTTTCTTTATACTTAATTCGTTTTATGGGTGGAGTATGTTTCAAGCGTATATTTTAAGGAACTTTAACGAAAAGTTCACCGTACTGTTCATTTTAATGAAAAATTACATTTTTACACTAAAAAGTCAATCCTAGTACTATTCATTTTACCCTTTATTTTTAAAACTCAAAGTTTTCAAGCTCTTTTCATTAGTTTTTCTTAAATTTTAACATAATTGCACATTTGATTGGCTCATATGTAATAATAACTATGCATTTTGATGCAAGCTCGATCCTAATTGATTACTTTATCTCAACAATTATCAATTCAACCCACTAAAGTCATTGTTAATAAAAAAAATTAATATTTATTTCTAAAAAAATTATTTGCAAGAAACCAGTATTATTTTCGTTTCATGTTATATTTTCGCTTATTAACAACCAGGACAAAAAAGTATGTGAGTTTGACATTAGTTTGGAATATAACATTCCTCAAAGATTAAGTATAAAATAACCAAGGTAGAGGTTGTTTATCATGTATCAACTCCCATGGGCATCCGCATAAGGACTCGAGACCCTCTGAAGGTCGGGAGAAAAGCCGGTGAATGCCCTTCTAGGACCATATAAGGATCTGGTAAGAGACTTTTTTGTACCCACCAAGTGTTCGATAAAATATATTTTGCATATCTCGATAAAACTTAGCCAGACGCGTCGACATCTCTTGGTGTTTGTATCACTCGATTGAAATTTGCAGGACCTCTCGACAACAACCATCAGATATCGGCATATGTCAGCACGTTTACAACATGGTTTGACAAAATATGCACTCCAAACACTCGAAGTCAAAATTCTGAATCCGTCGTTGCTCATTTCCACTTATTCGATTTTTTTGTACCGATTCATGATTTATCCGACTCTAAACAAGTAATCATGTCAAATAGGGTTCCACCAATGCAATATTTTTTGTGCTGATTCATGACTTCTCCGACTCTAAACAAGTAATCATGTCAAATAGGGTTCCACCAATGCAGTATTCCAATTAAAATGGACCAGTAACCTATGTTAAAATTAAAAAGAAAAACAAAATGACAAACGTCAAAGAAAACTTCACTGCTGTGACGATAAATGGATCGTCGGCCCACCAAAACCCGACAGCTTTATGTTCACCAGTTGATGCTACCACTCGAGTACAAGACCTGTTGCCCGCCACTTCGCTAACTCCAAAAACTAATTAATTTAAAAAAAACCGAACGTTATCACCAAATAATCACATAACATAATAATTAAGAAATGGCCGACCGCTGGCACGTGGTGCTGACACGTGTAATCATTAGAGAAAGATGAGAAGTGGTCCCACTCCTCCGTTGATTGTCCTTGTTCTTCCTTGGCTTCGAGATAGAACTAGAAGGAGCACTAAGCACCATAATTTAAATATAATAATTCTGAGATTAGAGCACATTACTGTTTGTTTAGTGTGTGATTTCGAATTTGTATTATTTATTTGCTTCGAGCTCTTAACCATTAATCTCTTATCTGCTTTCTTTTAAAATAAAATAAAAAAATCAGCTAGTAATTTTACCACGACAATTTAAGGGGGTATAGTCAAACTAATAAGATTTTAAAGGATTTTAAAATTGATAGATTTTATAGGATTTAAGATGATTAAAGACTCCTACAAAATGCATATGGATTTTAAAAAATTTGAATGAATTGTGGTGGAAGGATTTGAAATCCTAGGGGGTGAGGTTTGATTCTTTTTAGTCTTTGTTATATATACTTTTTGCTTTCAAATCCCACAAAATCCACAACTTATTGAAATCCTCCAAAATCTTAAATTTTTTTAATACACTTAGATTTGAATGGATTTTAAAATCCTTTAAAATCTTTTAATTGACTACACCTAGATTTAGACTTGAATGGATTCTAAAATCATTTAATTGACTATACCTAGATTTGAATGGATTCTAAAGCCCTTTTAAAATTTTTTAATTGACTACACTAGATTTTTAAAATATTTTAAAATCATTTTAAAATCCTCTTAAATCCGAGTTTGATTACATCCCCTTACTTTTTTGGAGACTGAAAAAACTTAAACTGGAATTTTGGCTTTTCTGTGTTTTACACTTTTATATTCTATGATTAAACAATTTAACACATGGGGTTTTGGCAAAACAGATCGTTACCCAAAAGTCCGGGCTTCTCATTTAAAAAAAAAAAAAAAAAAAAAAACCACTTTGGGCTTTAACAAAAAGAACTTTTAACCCTGGGCTCATAATTGAGGTGACAGAAACTAAGGCCTAAGTTTCACTTGCATTATGGGCTGAAGGTAGAAGATGGTATCACTTAGCATTAGCCCAAAGTTTCATTTGCATTTGCATAAAAAAATAAAAGGTTAGTTGGATGGATGGTTGAGATCATTTCGGATCTCTGTGTTCTAAACAGCTGAACTCGAAAATCTAGACTGCTCAATTTAAATCATGTAGTTCTCATTAGCTAATTCCACGGGTCCACCTAACAGAAGATGAAGTATTTGAACGGTATGGATATCTCTTTCTTGAACAGCTCGAATTTATGGGTCCGACTACTTCGGACACAAAGATACAGAAAGGATCTCAACTGGACCTCAGGATTTAAATTGAATGGTCTGAATTTCCAAGTTCAACTACGCTGGACATAGAAATCTGAAGAGAATCTCAATTCTAATTGGATGAGATATTGTCAAGATTACAAAGTTGACTTGCTGCTCGATATTGTGCCAACATTACAAATTTATCATAAAAAATTCAGTACTAATAGTAGTTTAACCATTTAATATAAGTTTTAATTTATTAT